AGCCCGTCAGATCCCTTTCAAAATTATACCCTTCTCCCTTCCCTCCCCACGCACTGCACGCCACCTAAACGGCCCCCATCGATAACATCCCAGCGAGGAGCTGCCGCGTTCCCAAGCCAGGAGTTCCCCGTGCGGCGATCTGTCAACGCAGCTTCCCCATGACATCCCGAAGCTTATTTTCTTTCTGAAACTGGCCTTCTTCTCCCTCCTGGCGTTCAAACCTCTTTTTCTTGTCCTCTTGTTCTTTCTTTCGAAGGTGTGAACTCGAAGCAGACGATGATAGAATGACGGAAATATCGTTTGGCGGAGGTTTGGCGCGCTTTGGGGATAGGGAAAAGGAGGGAGTATTATAATATACAAAAAAAATGGAGACACCTAAGCAAATAAGGGATTAAACTGACTTAGCGTTGCAGCAATATACAAATATGAGGACGTCACAACATGAGTCAATTCTTGCCCTTTTTCGATCCTGCCATTGAGGGTTGGGAGCATCACCCTTTCCTCTGCAACTGAAAAATAATCTAGATTATACGTCTCTTGATATTTTATGAACATTTTTACAAAGATTTAAGAACCACTAGAAACATTCGTACTGCGTTATTATAGGCCTATTGATCCTGCAGTATTACTTTCCGATAAGTCGAAGAAATTTTGTCATTTGCTGTCCCATACGCTAGTAATATATAAATAAAATCAAGCAAAATTAAAACCACAAGTGTCATTTTCTTGTTATTGAGTAAGATTCCAACTCTATAGTATGTATGTTAACATATGTTAATAGAATCAAGTAGTCCCATACAAAAACCAAAGGCACTGTTGATGATATCGTAGCATTTTAAACAACATCCCAGGACAGAATACATTGGGCTTTAGTAAATAGTCGGCCCAGAACGTAAAATATTATAATTTTAAGGACAAAATAATGGGGAAAATAGAGAGTGACCGTCATGACCACTCTCGGACCATTTTGAGAAAATTAACGAATATAACCTCTCTAATTCAGGCAAAAGACCACAAATAAAAATCCGAATCTCGGAAATCAGCGAACAGGGCAGGTGTAACTGGGAAAAAAACTAGACTTTTTTCATGTGGCGAAAACAACTGCTCCATGGGTTCTTTTTATGAGCCGCCAGCGGGGTTTCCGTGACTAAAGGTCGGGGAAACTTCCCGGTCCCTATACCGTGGTCTCTCGAGTCGTGAGGCCCGCTCGAATCATGTTTTGTCATTTTTTCCCCGCTCTCTCATACAATCTAGTCTATCCCCATACTAAACAGAATTTTGATAACCAGAATCATTCGCAAAGATGGTGAAAATACGTAATTCTCGATTATTCAGTTCTCTTAAAATGCTAAATTCAAAGCGAGAATAATTTGAATTGCTTTGATTTGATTTGATGTTTATTTGTTTCATATACATCAAAATATTTGAATTTAGAATCTCATGATAAACTATAAAGATGTATCATGACGAGGTGTATGCAGAAAAGGGGTCGCCTAAAGCATAAGCTGGAAGTGAAGTCCTTTTGGGAGTGAAAATAAGAATACATTCAATACCGAAGCGATCTTATTGATTTAGTTCTATTTCACAGTGAAAATTAAGGGTTTAAAATTTCTGGCCAGTATTTCCACGTTGACTCGGCAAAATTATCAACGAACGTCTGACGGGAAACTACGTGTGTGTGAGTGAGTGGGTACCGTGTGAGTGTGCACATTATTTTCGCTGGCTCGCGTCTATTATTTCTGCCCGCCGTCGTCGTGTTATTGGTAACTATTAAAGTTATGATTTGCGGACTATCAAATACCGCAAACTGAGTAACGGTGCATTGAACTTTATGCGAACTGACATTTGAAAAACAAACAAATCGATTGGAGGCAGAGCGAGGGCTGGTTTAGAACATAATACCAGCTTGCTACTGTACTTTTTTTCCGGCAAAGAATAGGGGGGAATCATTCATCCAAAATTTACTGGAGTTAATCTCCATTCATGTCACAAAGAAAGTCGATACAATCATTTTTTGATAATCTTTGACACCCGAGTCTTGTGGGAATTTGCAGTGTGTAAAACAAATAAGTCACCGTGTGTTAAAAACACGTATGAAATCCTTCAGTTATTAAAAAAGCAATGAAAGCACTTCGCAATCCAATTTTAAGACATGTTCTATTTATAATTTCGACTTCGTAAAAGCTGTATTGCAACTATATTCTGCACGCTTTATTTCACGAATGCAGTGTTAACGGTTTACATGATCTTTTTCGTGTATTATATAGTTAATATTCCCTCATTGTTGAGTTTAGAAATGTATTTCACAGTCATAAGGGTTATGTCTCGTGCAAAATGAAAATCGTTTAGGTTCCAAGCGATCGACTAGCACTGATCAACTGTCGACCGTTTCAGTGTGACAGTAACATCATGTAGTTGTATATTGCTTATATTTTTGTTCTAAATGTTGAATATTTCAATGATGCTTTTGCTATAAGAGTTTTCGTAACTTGTCAGCTGACATCATTATTACGTTATCCGGACATGTATGGCATATAGAATAAGGTACTGAAATTGCCCTGTAGTTAAATTTTCGAATTGCATTATAGGATCAGAGAATTCTCGGTGTGGAACGAGAAGAAAACTTGAAGAGCGCGAAATCTTTCGTGCAGGAACGAGAGGGAGAGGGGGGCCGGGGGCAAAGGGGGGGGGGGGAGAGGACACAAATTAGATACGTGGAAGGAACATGCAGATACTGGAGTCTCCGCCGTAAATCAAAGACATATTCCAAGAAGGTATCCCACAGTAGGGGTCTTTCCGCTTAGGGCCATGAACAATTTCCATAACTTTGATGGACGGCTGAAGCCCACTGGTATAGCCCCGCGATATCAGCTGTGACTGTGAGCCAAGTCGTGTATGGAAACCCGTCTCGAGACTCCACTCCAGACGCTCGAGTTAATTTGCTGGACTATGCTGGTCAAGTTTTGAAAACCTGAAGATAAAGATGAGTTCTGGCCATGCGATTGCATTTTGAAAGAACTGTTTTATAGCCGATCGCGATAGTTGATTATGAAGTACTGCGAGGTTTTGGAATCATTAAAACGATAGGAAAGAGACTCACACTCGCTGAAGGTTGCATGTATTGTACGCAGAGACAATACACAAGTATGACATGAAATTGTGGTCCAAACACTTCAACTTTTTCTTGTCATATGAGGGAGGAAATCGGCGAGCCAGCCTTTTCGGAGGACATGAAAGAAGCTAATAACGTCTTTCCTATAACTCGACCATTTCTCTAACAGTCCAGTGATCATCTTTAGTAGTAGTAAATGATAGATTTGCGGAATGATTATTTCGTCACATGAGGCTTTAATTGAAAACCAGATATACCATTTATGCTTTTTTCACTTTTTAAAAATGTGGAAGGTCTGTAAGAGGAGTGAATCAAATATAAACTACGGTGTCTTGATCGAAGACTGGGCTGGCACCGAACTGTCGCTCTGCTCAATTTTTGCCCTTGTGATGTTTTTCAAAAGTAGTTCCCCCAAAAAGTACACAGAATACGAGAGAAGAATAATGAGCCCGTGAATCGGGCTATACTCCAATTAGCCTGTCATTGTTTTTGACTTACAAGCGGTTAAAGGACTCTTGCTCGTAATACATGCACTTGAAAATATTGAAAACGTAATTGGTTGAATTCTTGTTGCAAATATGCTTTGGTATTATAATGTCCACCCGTTTATTTGTTTGTCATGCTCGAATTGCTTGTAATTGTAAAGGAACATTTTTGAGGTTAAAACAAAGGCATGGCCTGCAGTCTTATCACGTTATTATGATTGTTGTGCTGAACGTGTAGAGTAACGTTTAATTTGTAAAATAAGATTGCATTGTTCCACCGCCGTTCCAATCATTTGTTTTATTGCAAGTTTGTTACTGCAGTTGAACGACTACCAACCTTGTAAATATTCATCAAGCATACCAATGACAATAATAATGGTGTTGTGAATTTAAAATTTAACTTTCAAAGATCAATCATTTGAATCTCGATGCGCTTTAACGAATATGGGCCTACAGTTTTACGTTTGAAACAAAAAAAAATTGTTGAATAAACATCTCCGCATGATTTCACATTATTGATATCTGTAATAAGTATATGATGCAATGTAAACTTCAATAGCAGGCTTTTATTGGGAAGACAATTAATAAGTGTAATTAACGCGTTGAAAGTGAACACTCTTTTTTGAAGCTCGTAAGATGAAAAAGTAGTGCAAAATAAAAAAAAAAGTAATACAGTATTAACTGTCTTTCTTGTTTCTCTGTTGGACAGCCATTGATGAATTGATGTCGTACGTAATTAATTGTTATTACTCCACTGTAATATTTTTTTAAAGAAAGGATGACAAAATTATGACTCTGTCGTGAATTATAGCAGACGAACTGCGACTTGGCTCGCGTTCTGATCTGTACTTTACACGGGGTTGTTCTAAAAAAAAAAAGTGAGACTGATTTTGGCGCGAACTTGCCAAAGTAATTCGATTGTCTCAATGAGCTGTCAAAACGTATGCTTGTCAAATTGGGTTTGTGATTTGCCAGAGAGAACAATGATCTGCGGCCACATTAAGAATGTGATATAGCAATTATTCAACCAAGTTTACGCGATTCGTGATTATTAAAGGGTCTTTGCTGAGACAGACTTTGCACTGATATCTAATGCCATGAAGACAAAGGGTGTCAGCTTCGTCAAATGGTTCAATTCTGCTCCAAAAACAATGTCACTTGACAATGTCATTTTGACGTTCCAATGGCAAGAACTTCAAATACATTTAGAGAAAAAAAAACATGTTTGACATAGTACAGCCGGGAACAATTGGTCCCAGGACCAAATCGTCAACTGGTGGTGGTCAACTCACCTATACCCTTGTACCCCCCCCCCCCTCCGCCCTCTTATTATCATGTTTGAACCATTAATTCGCCATTATATTCATGAAATATATATTTTCTCCCTTTTTTTTCAATCACAGATCTTCCCGAGCAAAAAGCTTCGTCTCGTCCAGGAGCTGATCGGCAGCCGCGACGCCATTCTGCAGAAGAAATACGATGAACATCTCGCAACCTTTGACCCAAAGAGCATCCGGGACATCACGGATACTCTGATCGCCACCATGAAGGAATCCAAGGATCAGAACGGAAATGACGTATTCTGTGCCGATCACGTGGTTATGGCCACGTGGGATATGTTCCTGGGAGGTTACGAAGCGACTTACAAGACGATCAAGTGGGCCATTGCCTTCCTCATCCATCACCCCGAGGTAAGATTAAAGCCCCACTGTACTACTTGTAGCTCCTCGCTCCCTCTATATAGAAAACTTCCCCAATCGGTGCCTGTTGGTCCCCCATGATCCTCTTTTTCTCATGTTAATTGAGAGCTGAGTTGATGAGATAGTCAACTGTCAGTGACCGCCCTGGGTTATCTAATCCTTCCTAGCCAAACTAGTACAGCCGGCCTTTAAGAGACCGATTATCGGACAATAATCCCAGTTGTACTCGAGGCGTTACTTCGATTACGTTGGACTGCGTCGGCCCACTGGCGCTGTCTTTGACCCACAATGCGAGAGTAACATCATGAGAAAGTGAATGGAATATGACGGATGTAAAACTTGCTTTGAGCTACTGGCGTAATTCTTCTTGAATTGTTGGGAGTTCCTCGGCAGTAGCTCCTGTAATATTGTCCACTTTGGACACGATAGAATGTGTAGTACAGTATATCATCCCCTCTATATTCTGCAGAAGTTGGCCCGATAGTAGGCCGAAATATCCGTCCTAAGTCGGAGAAAGATCTTACGGGCAAATGTACTGTATATTGGCAAACTACACCCTGTACTCGACATCAATGACACTATTCCTTCTTTTTCTTGCAACAGGTCCAAGCCAAAATTCAGTCTGAAATGACAGCAGGATTTGGGGACAGGATGCCGACGTGGGAGGACCGTGCCAAGCTGCCATACCTGGAGGCTACCGTCTTGGAGACCCTTCGTCAAAGCTCCATGTCATCCATGAACGGACCTAGACGGACAACGTGTGATACACAGTAAGTTCATGCATTGATGAACACCATCGGCCTATCCTGATGGCCTAACGATAGATCCTTACACATCAATAGATGACATTTTTGTTGTGAACACTTTAATATTGAATCGTTTTTTCAGATTTACAAACGACCAATCATGCCAATTTTCGATGTTCCAAGATCCTTAAGTGGTTTTGTTTCTTATTGTTCTTTTGATATGAGTGGAACAATACAAGGGGACAATATACTTATAAATTCATTTTCGCTGAAAGAAATAGAATTATTATTATTGTTGGAAATGACATAGGATGAAGCTTGAGAAGGAAATGCTATAGGTTTAAATCCATAGCACCTTTCCGTTCTTGTAGGCATGTCCATTGGATACTCGTGGTTGTTCTTATAATATCTGCCATAGCCCCTTGGCAGAAGAATTATTGCTTTAGGCTCTTGTAGACACGTTTATACTTACCACCATCTTCCGATTTTCTCCTTCCGTGTCACCTTCTTGTCCGTTGCAGGGTCAAAGGTTACGACGTTGCCAAAGACACAACGGTATTCTGCAATCTCTGGTGGGTTCACCACGATCCAAAGAACTGGAAAGACCCGATGAGCTTTAGACCAGGTACTTACCACTTCACTTTCTTCCTTCATGTTGGAGACCTGACACATTGCTCCAGCGATATTTCAGTCTTTATTTTGCCGAAGATATAGGGGTAGGGTTATGGTTATGCTGTGGGTTTATGCCAAGCTTAAGAATTTGATTATTACTAGTGTTAAGTCCAGGGACTGAAATCTATATAAAAAAAAAATGGTTAGCGTTAGAAACTGACTGCAAAGTAGTTGTTGCTGGAGCTTGACTGTTACCAATTTGTTTATCAGCGTTCTGATGGACCTTGTTTAGTTGGACTCAATCAGTAGGCTCTTGGTGACTTTGGACAACCTAGCCCATGTCCTTCGCACAGGAAGGTAGAAATTGTACGTCAATTCATCCTTTAAAATAACTATTAGCGATTGATAGAAAAGCCATGCTGTCACTATAGATGTCTCAAATTTAATGTGACTTGGAAGATAGTCTTTGTATAAAAATTATTTAGGTTGATGTTCCACCTTTGTGAACATGATGAAAGGATTCATTTGCATAAGCTTATGGTCTTGATGTCTAACTTATCATTATTTTCGTTCTTACAGAGCATTTCCTGACCGAAGATGGCAAGGTATCCGTTCCACGCGCCTTCCTCGCCTTCTCGCTGGGCAGCCGGGCCTGCATCGGTAGTCAGCTCGCTCTCATGCAACTTATACTTCTTCTCGGGGGCCTCCTACAAAGGTTCAACCTGCGGCAAGCAGTCGGGGAGCCTCTGCCGGACCTCGAACCTGGCTCCGAGCTTGTCAGAACAGTCGGTGATTACACGATGTGCCTAGAGGTTCGGTAAAACCCGGGTAAACATCCAGAAACTAAGACATTCACAGAGAAGTTATGATGATAATTGGACTCACCGCCATGTTGCCGTTTCTGACCAGAGATCGAGCGCCGGTGAAGTTCCGTAGAGGTTCGGCTTCTCCAAACAGAACATGTTTTAATCGCAAGAGAAAACAGCAAACAATTTTATCGAAGGACTTTATGAGATTTATGTCATATTATATACCTCATCCATGATTGGATAGCACCGAACCAGGTCAAAGGGGAACGGAAATGCAGACAGTGAGCATGCGCAGTCTATTTCGCAGATATATCGTCGTGATCGTTTGAACGTATCGTATCGATGGATGTAACGTCTGGTGGAAAGAAAAAATGGAGTGAAATCCTCACGTGTGGAATGCATGTCTGGATTCTCATTCGCCTGTGATGTTTTGTCGTTTTTCAATGAAAATTCTCTAGCGTGTAAACTTAAGTCTTTCAAGATCTTGATTTTTATACCTTTGTTAATATGATCACTTTCGTCAACTGTGTCAAAATACAGGCCTTTTTTATTCTGTATCGAAAGACGAGAGTGGTATTTTTTCAAATGTTATTCATCCTCCAGTAAATGCTTTTCAAGATGACCGAACCGTGATGATGGTATTCAAATTGTGAATTCTAAAAATTGCCAAATGTGAACTCTAGTGCTTCAAATGAAAAGAACATTGATATGGGCGTAGTTTTAATAAGATAGACTGCTTCCCTAAACGTTTAATTCATATTATTATGGCGAAGTGTTTTCTCTTATTATTTTCTATTTATTGCTTTAACGAGTAGTTAATTAAACTTATACATTTATATAAATTGACTACTTAAGTTAATCCTCAAAACGGCAACGTATTATATGAGCATGAATTCCATACGATCTTTATGTAGATGTTAATGGTGGTCAGATATTTAGGGTTATATTGTAGATAAGAGATTTATCTTTCTTTCCTGTGTGAAAAGAATGCATCAGTATTCTTTGAATTGGCCACTCCTTGAACGAGGACCAAGACTTTGTGATACCAAAGATATGTAGGTTATATTCTTGATCAAAACTTTTATGTTAGTAGATAGCAGTTCTGTCTTTATTTCATCTTCTCTTTCTTTCCATCTTGATTTGCGTCGCCGCTGTCTAAAGCAAAATAATCATCTTGTGTTAGAACTATACCGTAAACTGTAACGTTTTGTTTATATTGGTTATATTCGGGGATTTTTGAAAGAATTTCTAAGCAATGACGGTTTACGTCATGAACCCACTCCTTTACTGTGCTGCATCAAAAATGAACTTGATTGCAATTTCGTATACGATCGAGAACTAACCAATCACGAGCAAGCATTTTTTAAAAGATGCACCCTGATTGGATGATTCCGTACTGGGTTCTGATTGTAGGAATTTGCAATCAATCGAAATTGAATGCAGCATTGTCAACATAAGTCATTTTGCTTCTCTTCCCATGACCGTATATTGCCTCTTTGTGTTTTCTCCAGATATTTTATCAATTTATGAGAATATTTAGTAGGAATGCACCTGCTTGTCAAAGAAGAAAAAACACTAAATTAATTCTTTATTATCGATTTAATGTGTTTGACTTAAAGAACCTTACGACGCTCTTCAGAACGTTGTATTGAGGAGATAAGCTATTATCAAAGAGTTACTACTAACTCCTTGGCTATATTGGACAAATTGCCTTGTGTAAGACGTTAGTATTTTCTGAAGACTTTGAAGATTAGTTAACAGCCTATAAATATAAATATGAAATATAGTTTATCGAATTATTTTGCTCTAACCATGACCTTCAAAATGTGCTAGAAATAAAGTTAATCATCAATAGGATAATCAGGATACACGTTTAGAAGGTTTGAATGAAGCTTGTTACAAAGTCAACAAAGACATTCTTTACCTATTCAACACTTTTGATCAGAGGTTTATCGAACGAACTTCTCTTTCCAACTTTGCTTGGGTGTTATATCTGTAAACGTCCACAAATAATTGTGTATTTTTTTTCCATCAAATACTCGCTTTAGTTCTTTCTGACTCTTTCCTTTTTAAACTTTGTTTTGTTTTCTCTTTTGAACTCTCAAAGACAGTAAAAATAAAATGTGCGAATGTGCCAATTATTCTTAAACTTGGAGAGGGAGATCACGAAGGGAAGTCCAAACAGCCCCAAAGTGGAGATCTCGATCCTCTTAAGGCAAAGACAAATTCTTTAAACGTGTCAAGATGTTAAATATGATTTTAATCGTTTCTGTATGAAGATGTATTCGATATTGAGAGATTGCGACTATTGCATGTGTATTCAGTGTACAAAATAAATATATGTGTATGTGAATTATAATGATATCTGTCATGAAATTTTGACCTGAATGTCACTATTTACTAAATAAACTTCCTAAAGGTTATAGATTATCAGCATTTTGTTTGACTCATTTTGCCTCTGTTACATCTATCCCAAGAATTGCCAAACATAAACGAAACAAATTAACAAATGATTATTTCAATTCATTTAGATTATTGATGGTAAAACAACCTTGATTCCTTAAAGTACCAAGAATTTCAGAATAGACTCCAACTGAAAAAAGACCAAATGTCTGACTTAATTTAGATGTCGCATATGATAATATTTATAAAGAATTACTTCTAGTATTGAGTGAATCAAGTAAATCAAACTTGCTATCTACATACATGAAAATAGGTGATGATGGTGGTGGCGGTGGTGAGGGTTGCGATGATGAAGATGGTGGTGATATAACGCCGATGGTGATGATCGTGATATAACTAGATGGTGGAAAGATGGTGATTGTGAAAATGACGAGGTTGATGATGATGATGATGGTGAAGATGATGATGATGATGATGATGATGACGATAGAATTTAACGATTCCTTTGCTGCCTCATACAAAATGAATAGAAAGATAACTCATTGCCTTTTTACAGTGTCACTTTTTGTCTAAACTTTACCCAAAATACTTATAAAAATACAAAGTATGACGTTCACCAAGAAACATAATATGATGGGGTATGGGAAGGGGGGGGCATTTTGGAGTTAAGGGCGTGGGTAGAGTTGGCAAAGGGGTACGTGCCCCCTTCCCTGTCCATCGAATTGCTGTAGTGAAGTAAAGAAATGAGAAAGGAGGGGGAACGGGAAAAGGAAAAGAGAACTTGAAAAGAAGATGATACAAGCCCCATCCCCCACCACCACCACCACCACCACCACCACCACCAGGAGCACACCCTCCCCTAAAGAATGGATATAAGACTAATCCCCCATAATGACAGTGCCCCTTAATACATGGAGACTCGCTACGCCAACTGGTTGGGATGACCCCTTGTCACTCGATGTCCATAACTCGGCATCGATGTCGAGTCGCAAACCTATCGACGAGTCCTATTAAAAGTGAAAAGTAATCTACACTAACTGGAATTTAGGTGAACTGTCTACAAAGGGTCAAACTAACAAAGTACAGACAGGGGTGAACAACCAATAATTGGAAGAGAAATGAGAGATGAGAACGAAGAGAGAGAGAGAGAGAGAGAGAGAGAGAGGGGGGGAGAGAGAGAAAGCAGGCATGTGTATACAAATGTAGAGAGACAGAGAGAGAAAGAGAGAGAGGGGGGAGGAAAAGACATATTTAAACATTTAAAAGTGTATGAAATAGGACGAGAGAGAGGGGGAGAGATGGGGGGGGCTGGATAAGCACGGTAATTGGGAATTGAAAGGGAGTGAGAAAGAGAGAGAGAGAGAGAGACAATGTAACATAACAAGAGATTGATATATAAACTGACAAATATGCGTTTATTGTGTTACACTTCAAAAGTAGAAGACAGAAAAAAATTGAAAAATTGAAACATGCTAAAAAGCCCTATTTCCCCCTATTTATAAAAACCTTCGCTCTTTACAGATGGTACTGCCCCCCCCCCACACACACACACACACCCGAAGAAAAAAAACATGTCGCTGCTATAAATCACGAATGGTGAAAACACCCTATTTTGATTCACGAGCAAACATCAACAACAACCGGTTCAATGATCTCGACAAAAAAAAATCCTTATCTCAGTCAGATAATAATCATAGACAACACGGAGCCCCCAAAAGCATCAAATTAAAACAAGATCTGACAACTTATGAGATGGAATCCAGAAAGAGAGAGTTCCTTGACACGGCCCTATTCCACAGGGTCTTCGACGTCACAAAGAAACGATTTACAAACAACCCCCCTTCTCAACAATTTTCACAACTGACTGGCGTCGACGCCAAAATAGAAAAAAAAAGTACGTTGGAACGTAAACTGTCCTAGTAAACTCGACCCGTAGTGACAATCGGCATGTCAAATTGCGATAATAATGGCCCACTAAAGATAACTCGGCCCGTTTCTGATAAACATTAACGACGCGTCGCAAAGTACATTTGAAATCAATACATGTTTTCGTTTTGACATAACAGAGTGCACGGATGATTGTTGGGTGGGTGAGATTGGTGGCGTTGCGAGGGGCCAGTCATTATGGGAGGGTGCCGGGGTGTTGGCAATTTCTTGGCAGCGTGGGGTGGGGTGCGCTTTCTCTTTCTCTATCTCTTTTTCTTCTTCTTCTTCTTTTGTTTTCTTCTTCTTCTTCTTCTTCTTCATTTTGTTGTGCTGCTTCTTCTTATTTTCTTCTTTCTTCTCTTTTCTCCAATTGGGTGGTGGTTCGGGGTGGGGCACGTACTCCCATTTCCCCCTTACCTACGCATTAGTTTGGTTGAGGTGATAAAAGTGACAAAGTTATGAAGAGTGATGGGGAGAAAAGGTCATCAAGCCATGTTGTTTTCTTTAGATAGCGGACAAAGACAATTATGACAGATAGATTATACCAATGTCATGAGCAAAGCAGGCTCAAAGAATATTCCAACTAACGAGACTACGGAGGCGAAAACACTTGCTCTTAGCGTCTGGCAGTAATCTCGTAAATAACGAAGTTTGCTTTCTAGCATGCGCTTTCTTTGATTTTATTTACGTTTTCATGATCGCAAAATATATTAACGTCAGTGTATATGGTTAACAAAATGTCATTTGTTTTAATTACTCATATGCTATTTTATAAATATATGTTTTTTAAGGAGACCCATTTTCCTCAATTAATTTACGGATTTCCATAGCAAGCGACGTTTCCCATTTCAATCTTCTTTCTTTATTTCTTTCTTTTTTCATCTTTCCAGCTTGACGTCTCCTACTACGTTCTTCAGTCATGTCCCTAATCTGGACTTACATCCTAACCTTGAAGTAACATTCTTTAAGATTTTATTCTCCTTTAATGGCGCCTCTTTGCCATCATCTTCGTTAAATTCAACATAGTTTCGTTTCATCAATACATCATTTATCTCCCTTCGTGGAAGGAGGAAGCAAACAATCCTTATTTGACGATTTAATGGGATACAGTTTTTGCGTTTATTCACGACCTTTTAGAACCTTGGATTACATTTTCCACGCTTTACAATAAACAAAAGCCTCCAGATCGACAATTTAAAAAAACAGCGCTATTTTTGTCCATGCACGTATGCCACCGAACGATTATCGGATAAATTCTACGAATGTATTTTATTTCTAGCACGATCGATGTTTGTCGTTTCTTCCCAAAAATTTACGATTTGTTTAAAGGTCACTCGAAAAAGAAAAGTGGAAAGCCCTTCAAAAGGTTGGTGACATGTTTTATTTGTGAAAACAATGATTTCTCTAATGATCACCTATTCCTGGGGGGGGGGGGGGGGGGGTGAGGATAAGGAAAACCCGTACGCCTTGAAATGAACAGCAAGTAACACACATGATGAATGTCGTTCTTGATTGTAAATAGCCTACTACTTATTTTCTGAAGGATAACGTGTTTGTCAACAGGATTTCCAGAGCGTCATTCAAGGCGTGAAATATTTCCAATTGAATGTGGGGGGCTTTGCCAATAATAATATAGTTTGATTTGTTTCAACGATTTCCTAAAAATAGATGTGCAAGGCACACTCACATTAAAAAAATCGGTCACGGTAAATATGCAATAATGAGATGAATGATATCATAGGTAAGAATTTCTTACAATACATATAAATATTTAATCATTTCTCACTGATTATTATTTGCGATATACTGGTAAATATGGCCATTGTGTGCGAGGGATAAAAGCGGGTAAACACCGGAGTAAAAAAAAAACATTGATAGGATTTTTATTAAATTGATAGGTTTTTATTAAATGAAATCAACGAAAGGGAAATAAATCTGACTTGCAAATATTACGTAACATTGCTTACCCAGTGGAAGTCGCAGAAAATCGGATATGTCCTATCATTGGCAAAGCCCCACCTCCCCACCCCTCCCCCCCCCCCACACACACGCACACGCACTGCATACACACATAACAAGTAACATCGCATATCATATTATGTACTTTTGAATCTAAAAGCTCGCTTTGCCCAATCAATCCTTATTAGTTACACTAATTCCAAATCAAGTAGATCAGTCCTTCCCCTTCGCTCCACTTCTACTTATTTTGAAGAAAATAAATGATGCCCAAACAAGGTCGATAAGAAAATAATGACCTCTCATTATCATCATCATTTTTAAAATCCTCTAGGGTCATTGAAATACAAGTGTATGAAAAGATAAAAAAAAACGTTCCGTACAGGCACCTTCGATGCTCTTTTCAAATTATTGAAGATTTAATGGAGGTTATTGTGGAGGGAAAAGGTCGCAGTGAAAAGCATGACCCCATCGCTGCCCTTTTTACGGCTTAACACCAAATCTCAAAATCGAATTTACTTGAAAGAAAATGTACATTTACTCCAGAGCACAAAAGAAGCAAAAGAGATCAACAACGTCTTGGGTGATCGAAAGTCCCTTTAGGTCCTGTATTCTCCCCCGGACGAATTCAAGCTTTGACAATGGAAGGAGATATTGAAGGACAAGGTACTACAATATGCCAATTGCTATTACCTCTCCGACTTAATGACGAAATGTCATCAACATTCCTTAATGTACTTTCCATTAAAAAAACGATTTAACGCTCATCTCTTTAGCGCCTTTTCAGAGCGCTGTAAGAAAACGACTCCATTCTCGTCAATACTACCTCACAAAGGCGGTGGTAATTTGTGGACGGGCCTTTATGAAGGAGATGACGAGGAAAAGGACGGGTCATTCTTCTCTCGCTTGCTCTCGATCTCATGGATGAAACGAAGGTCTTTGAGACTGTCTGTGCGATGATGTGTACAATGACGACAATGGCTTGGAATCAGATGTTTACTGGGAGCTAAACAAAGTCCGAAACATCTTTGACGATTCTTCGTTTTGCCGCCAAATCGATCGATAGGATGCGCATCTTCGCACAAAATAAAAGAATCTGACGCAGTGTTTTGGGAACATTTCTTCTCTCCAGGGGCGTCGCTTGATCGTTT